GCAGAAAATGAGAGAGCCTTTGATAGGATTCAGTGTTTTGTGTCCAGGGGTGTCCCAGTGTCTCTGCACCTTGTCACCCCTTGCGGAACGCTGCTGTTGCCACCTTGTCTCACTGGGTTCTTTCCTGACAGAATCCCAACAGAGACAGAAGCCTCTGTGATGTGGATGTCTCCCCTACAAGTCCACATGTTAGAAATTTCATCCCCAGCTTCAGCCAGCAGTGGGTTTTGGAGGTTTAGAGGTAAGTAGGGATCAGAAAAGTTCATAAAGATGGGACCCCATGGTGGCTTTAATGTCTTTGTGAGAAGAGGAAGGGACCTGAACTACCAGACCTGATCTGTCTCTCAATATGATGTTCTCAGAGGGACTGAGATACAAGACTCTCACCAGGGACCAGATTCCATCCTTGGACTTCCCAGCCTGTAGCATCATGAGGTAAATACATTTCTACATTTTATAAAGTTTCCAGAGGGTAATATTATATACAACAACAGAAGCACACTAAGATTTACTTACCTAAACTAGATTTATTTCATTGTTTATTTTTATGTGTGCCCATCTGAGATCATGCTATGGTGTCACCCACATTTAGGGAGAAACTTTCCCTCTTCTTCTCTGGAAACTTCCTTAGAGACACATTTAAAACTGTGCCTCACTAAAGCCTGAAACAGGTTCATTTTCTCCTTTGTTATTACTTTATTTTTAATTACATGGATGTGGGAGAACACATGAATGCAGCTTCCCACTGAGGTCAGAGGGGAAGCCAGATCCTCTGGAGCTAGAATCACAGGTGGTTCTGAGCCTCCCAATGTGGTGCTGGGAACCAAACTCAGGTCTTCTGGAAGAGCAACACACTACATTCTTAAGCACTGAGCCATCTCTCCAGACCCCACCATTTTTATTGGTGGCCAGTGTATGTGTGGCACACACCACCACACAGCTGTGGAGATCCAAGGGTATCTAGTGGGGTCAGTTCTCCTCTTCCACCTGTCCATGGGCTCTGGGGATCGAACTCAGGCTGTGAGACTTGTGTGCCAGGAATCTTCATCTGCTCATCCATCCAACCTGCTCTTCTTCTTTTTAAAGTAATATTTTTATGAAATCTTTGAGAATTTCACAGAATTTATTTGATCATATCCCCCCCCAGCTTCTCCCAGATCCACCTCCCACCTCCCTGTGCACCCATCTCCACGCTCTCTCTCTCTTTTTAAAGTCACCAAGTCCCATTTGTGTCCTCCAAATCTCGGATGTGTGTTCTTCCACCTACCATGGTTCACACCCTCAGAGAAAGCTGACTGCCCCCTCCCCCTTGAAAGTTACCCCCACTTGTTGTGCCTTCCTATCCCTCCCCTCTGTGGGAATTCTAACTGAAACAGAAATTCAGAGATAACATACACAAAAGTGATAAAGCATGTGATGTTTGCCTTTCTGAGACCAGGTTAGCTCACTTGGGATGATTGTTTACAGCTCCATCCATTTACCTGAACTGTTTTTGTTTTTGAGGCATTGTCTCAACTATCAAAGGCTGATCTACAACTCCCTATGTATCCACGAAGGACTTTGAACTTCTGATCCACCTGCCTGCACTTTGTAAGAGACACTAAACCCAATTTATGCAGTGCTTGGAATAGAACCCAGGGTTTCATTCATATTGGTAAGCACTCTACCAACTGATCTATACCCCAATACTTTAGAAATTACAATGCTACTATTATTTTAATGTGAGGGATATATATCCATATGTATCCATATCTGTGCATGCGTGTGTGTGTGTGTGTGTGTGTGTGTGTGTGTGTGTGTGTGTGTGTTTTATTGTACACAGGGTCTCATTTATCCCAGGCTAGCCTCAACTCTCACTATATAGCCAGCACTGGTCTTGAACCTGGTCTGACAGCCCCTACTTCCCCAGTGCAAGGAATATAAATGTGCTCCATCACCAGGTTTACACAGTTCTAAGGATCCCCTAAGGGTTCATGAATGCTAAGCAAACACTCTGTCAACTGAGCTATATCCCTGGTCCCCAGTGCAGTGTCTAGGTTAGGATTCCTAAGGTTAAGATAAGGCTTTCTCAAAGTGATGTTCTTCTCTCTATGAAAAGGGGTCATAATGAAAAAGCCTTGAGTCAGACCATGACATGATGGATAAAGCAGAGTGGCATACCTATACAGAAAAGCCTGGGGGGCTGGAGAGATGGCTCAGAGGTTAAAAGCACTGGCTGCTCTTCCAGAAGTCCTGAGTTCAATTTCCAGCAACCACATGGTGGCTCACAACCATCTGTAATGAGATCTGGTGCCCTCTTCTGGCATGCAGGCATATATGCAGACAAAACACTGTATATATAATAAATAAATAAATCTAGAAAGAAACAAACAAAAGAAAGAAAGGAAGGAAGGAAATAAGGGAGAAAGAAAGAAAGAAAGGAAGGAAGGAAGGAAGAAAGAAAGAAAGAAAGAAAGAAAGAAAGAAAGAAAGAAAGAAAGAAAGAAAGAAAAAAAGAGAAGGAGGGAGAGAAAGAGGGAGGGAGGGAAGAAGGGAGAGAAATGTATATTTGAAACAGAGAATCAAAATGGCAGTGGCTGAGGCAGAATTCACCACGGCAATTTTCCCACAGTTGTGTCGCTGTCCACAGAGGCAGAGAAATATCAGACTAATGCAGCGAGAGAAGAGAAATTTCTGGAACAGTAGGCACAGAGGGTGGAGGTCACGATATAGAAAGGTCTGAAAACAGTATCTCTGTAACTTCAGGGACTTGAATAGTCACATGAGCCTAAATGGGGAATGGGGCCGTCATCAAGAACTATCTCTCTATGTAACTTCTGAGAACATCAGTCCTAAGCCTAAATATTCTATTCCGGACTATGTTTAGTATTGACCCTTTATACCAAACAGCTCCACCCACTAAAACACAATGACAGGAAACTTCATCTCTTACGAATTTATTATTTGTGCACTGTATGCCCTCCACACCCACAGTGGACACTAAAGTGAAGAACCCCATGTCCTGACCCCAGAGCCCGCAGCACAGCCTCCTAAGGCAGTAAGGAGGATGCTCAGTATTCGTCAGGCAGTCTTGCAGGTCTGTAGTGATTGGGGTCCTTGCCACTGAGGCCCCATCTGTTGGCTTCCTGGTCAGCCATGGTATCTCATGTCCACGGCCCATGAGACTCTGAAAGCCCTCTCTTGCATCACTAGGAGAAGCAGACATGGAGGAGATCTATCACCAAGTTTCATGGCCACAGTCGACACCCCCAGTTCTCTCATTTGCATGGAATGGCTTTAGGAGGAAACTAGGAAGGGCCAGGAAAGAGGGCCTGAAACAGTGACCCTGCCAAGCCCAGCAACGCTTAGGCCAGTCTGGCCACCCTACACTGAATGACCATCACCAGACAGGCAGGGATGAATCACTCCCTGTCTGCATTTGGAAACAGGCCTACCCAGCATGAGCTGAGTGCTGGCTCTGCCCACAGCCCAGGATCCACACTGAGCATGAATGGAGGAAGTAACTGCATGAGCAGGAGGGGGAGGGGCCACAGATTGGCATGACCTTCTCTGGGGCTCATCTGCCCCTGGTCTCCTAGCACAGTCAATACCTTCTACCCAGGCCCAGTGTCCCAACGGTCTATGTTTACCTGATGACTTCAGCAACCCAGTCTCTCCCAGGACCCCTTTGGGCAGCATCATAGTTCCGTCTAGCATGGAAGTATTTGTCTGAATCTTTCCAGTTGGCCTCCTTCATGTCAGAGTAGGCTTGTCACATGTCCCCAGCCCCTGGGTGGGAAAGACAACATGAGAGGAAGACAGAGATGGAAAAATTCATGGCTTGAGCCTGTGGTCAGAGCAGCCTGAGACATGGTGGAGAAGAACATTTTCTAACCCTAGTTGGTCTCTCCAGGTTACTACTGAGAGTTCTTAGAAGGTGCTCCTGTGAGAGCTGGTGCCGCACCCACCCCCCATGGGAGAGATGGCCCCACCTCTCACCACAGGCCAGGGAGAGCTGGCTCAGATGGTATGGCTTAGGCGGACTGGCTCTGTCCGTCCCCTGAGGGTGTGGTCCCAGTGGCCCAGACTGACCAGCTCATCTACCATCCAGACCCACCTGCCGGGCCTTGGGTTGGCCCACCCTAGTAGCTGCCCCATCTATGACCTGCTAGAGAGCACAAGGGCACTGGACCTTCAGAACAATGACTGCAGGATCTCCATGACTCGGGGCAACAACAGGATGACCAAGAGGAGTTTCAGTGGGGGCCCAGGGTTGATGGTATACCAGATCAGAAGCCTTGAACCAGACCAATGACTCATTACAATGAATATTTGGTGGGTGTGGCTGACTGGACAAAAGGGGTATACTTCGTGACACACTGCAGCTCCTGATACCACTAGGATGAAGGAGGACGTGTTGAAAGACGGAGGAGTGAGGTGGGTTTTTTTGTTTTGCTTTGTTTTGAATTAATTTTGGGGGAGCATACTGCAGGGGTAATGGTGGGTATGGAGGGACTGGGAGGTGAGAGAGATTGGGGGGCACGATGTGAAATTTCCAAAGAATCGATAAAGAAATGTTTTTAAAAACTAATGAATTAAAAATCCTTAAAAACAAGATGGTCCACCTGTGATGTGTTAGTGTGAGAAACACTGTGCACGTGTGAGCTGCCTCTTTTTACACAATGGGAATGTGGAACAGAAAGACGGGAGCTATCATCACAGAACAGAATTTCTCAGTCTTGGCCCTATTGTTGTGTTGGGTCCCTCGTTTCCAGGGCTGATCTGAGCACTGAATATATTTCCAGCATCCGTCCCTCCTACCAACAGCACAATCCCCTAGTAGTCGTCTAATGTATCTCCCGAAATTGAAAATGTCCCAAGCCACTGTCACATTAACCTTAATCTGCCCGTCCCGCGGGCCAGGTTATTGGGGAGACCTGAGGAGGCACCTCCTGAAAGATCAATGGGGGCGAGAGAGAAAGGAGACCAGGCGCAATAAGGGAAGACAGAGTCAGTCTGAGTCGCGTCAAGGTCTCCTTTATTGACTGGGTATTGAGGCTTATAAACAGGGCTTCAGGTAGGGAGGGGAGCAGGGGAAGCAGGGAGAGAGAAAATTCCTAAGGAGGGGGTCAGGGGCGAGGTCGCTTTGATCCTGGGCCCCCTGCAGTTGACAGGCTCCAGAAAGTTTACCTAATCATCATCTCCTGCAGTTAGGCCAGGAAGGTCTTATCTAGTCACATCTCCTGCAGTTAGGTCAGGAAGTTTTTGTCAAGGCTTGACAAAGTCCAGGACATAGCTGTCCGGAGTCGGTCTCCAACAGTTCCCCCCCTTTTCTCAAAAATGGACCAAGTCCATTGTGATTGGGGTGGCTAGGGTCCGAGAGAGTCCCTGTCTTAGGCTACACAAGGGGCTTCCCACGCTCGGCAGCGTGCCATGTTGAGCTGGTCTCGACGACCTCTGTACGCTGTTGTCTCCGGCATGAGCCCTGTACTATTCCCGTCATTGGGTACCCTCTAGCAAGACCGTGGGGACGCTAGGGCCTTAGGACACTGAATCTGAGTCCTTGATGGGGCTCCTGGCTGGCCTCCTCGGAATCTACTCTATGATAATGAATCGAGATGTGTCGTGGTGAGGCCGAATCAATCTGATTTTTGATAAACTGAGTCAACTGCTGAAAGGCCCAGGGACCAAAGGTAATGAGAAGGAGAAAAACAACTAAGGGGGCTAGAATGGTAGGTAGCAAGGTGGAGAGCCAGGGGGACCCTTGCAGCCAATTTTTAAACCACCTGTGCTGATTTTTAAACTCCCCTTTTTTTTGGGGGGGGGGGCTAGCCTTTTCCTTAATTTTTCCATCAATTCCCTGACAATACCAGTATGGTCGGCATAAAAGCAGCATTCTTTCTTTAAGGCTGCACATAATCCCCCCTCCTTTAAAAATAGTAAATCCAGACCTCTTATGTTTTGTAACACAACTTCAGAGAGCGAGGTTAAAGATTTCTCCAGAGCAGAAATGGATCTTTCTATGGCCTCTAGGTCAGTAGTCATAGCCATTTGTAACTGCATAAGGTGGTTGCTCTGCACGAGGGCAGTAGTTCCTGTACCAATTTCTGCAGTGATACCCCCAATACCTAACAATAGGGCAATAGTCATAGACTCAGGTTCTCGAGTGTATCTGCCTCTCTGCTCAAAGAATTCCATATCAGAGACTAATTGGACCAGAATATAAGAGCTTTCCCATTATCAATGGCAAAGCGAGCTTCCCCTTATTCAGTTTTTGCCATCTGCAAGTGTGTCATGGGTTCAGAGGTGGATATTGGAATTCTAGCATCCTCAGCTTAGTGGTACCCAGACATGAATCATCATTTAGTTAAGACATCAGTGATATAAGAGCCAACAGTAATTAGCAGAAGCACATGGGCCAAAAGCCTTATGATGGCTGACAGAGTTCCTTATCCTCAAGGAACCTGGAACTTTATCTCAGGTTCCCTATGACAAGAAATTCCCTTTTGATCTAACATTCCAGGGGGGCGGGAAACAAGGGCGATGTTTTCTCTTTTATAATTACTTCCTGCTGACATTGGGACGTTGTTGTCAAGGCCCTGGAAAGCCAGAATGTTAGTCAAAGACAAGAGGGAATGTTTTATTGACCAGCTGAAGAGATGGTATGCATATCGGCTGAATTGGTCCATATCAGCTGTCAGCAAGTTCAGGGCTCAGTCATTTGCAGTAGGTTGTCACCAGCAAAAGATGCTTGGATGTATCTGTCAGCCAAGTGGAAACCTGTTGAGATAGATATAAACTAGGAACAGAAGTTAAAACTTATGAACTTATTTGGAACTTTTAGACCCATAGTCTTAGTAATTGTAGTATTATCAATTTGCCCTGAAATCCATAGTGTCTTTTCTATCTAGAGAGCCAAGTATAGACTGGACTGAAACTTCCTTGGCCCAATGAAAAGCATCTGTAAGTCTATATTTAGAACCTGTTTATCTTTTTTGAAGAGACTTATTAGCTTTAATTAATTAATCCATTGATCAATCAATTACTAAGCTGAGAAAGCTATAGCTAGTCCAGTCATCAATGTCATCAAAGATCTGAGAAGGTTAAACTTTACCTGAGTGCAGACTTTTAAATCTATTTAAAAAAAAAAAAACATAGACTATCCATAAACCAGACTGTCATCATCCCAGGCTCCTATAGTCTTCATAGTGTTGGCAGGACAGGTGTCAGGACAGCGTCAGTCTTGGCTGCTGGGCCCATAATGTGAAATTTTCCCTGTTGAGGAGCAACTTGGTAAAAACTGACCTTATCTTGTCAGTGTCTCATAGGCCAAATCCCTGGCAGCAGATGTTGAGTCAGAGTGTCTTGCCCAGTGGTCGGTGTTGTCCACAATTCAGGTGGCATCTTCTTGTCATTGCTCTATATCTTTTTTGGAGACCTTGGGAGTCATTGCTAGGAGCTGGGGAGCTTGGAGTCTCTGTTTGCTATAGTAAGCTTTTTATCAAATAATGTAAATGCCATATTTAACAGATCTTGACAGGTTTGAGGACCATTATCTATTAAATGTATCTGAGCCAAACAAATCTAGGCCCAATCTTGAAAATATCTCTAAGTTTGGTAACAATAACCAGGCCAATTTGTTCACCTATAGATATATTAGTTAAATATACCTCTCAGGGTTTTTTTATTAAAATAGAACAGTTTATACTTTAAACTAGTATCTGAATAGCCAGATGACTAGTATTAACTTGTATTCCTTAACATAAAGGACATGCAAACTCAGACATTCAAAACCAAACATACATTTGGCCACATTTTTCATTCATACCTGTACAGTAGACAGACATTTTTACAACTATAACCCTTTGGAGTCTCAATGTAACAGCAGAATAGCAAGACAAAGAAATCTGAAACATGTTTCATTTTTTTTTTTTATATATCTCAAGTCATTTTTTTAGATCATTATTTAAGCCTTTTTATCCTCAGACCTTTATATTTTGCTTTTATATATTCTAATAACTTGTATTTTACATATTTTTTAAAACATTTTTTTTATCTTAACCAACAATAATTTGAAACCAATTCTCTTAAATGATGGCAAGTATTTGTAACCCATTGAACTCAAATGACCAAAACCCATTGTTATGCCCAGATCGCCCCAAAGAAGCCACCTAGATACTTAGGTACAAAATGCAAAAAGCAAGGTTCATTCAAATGAAGTCAAAGTTTACAAGCCGCGGCAGGGGGCTCTTCCAAATCTCTCACGCACAGCAGGGAGATTGGAAGGAGCGTGCCCTTTCTTTGTGAGGCTAGTTCTTAAAGGCACAGACCACATAATTCATCTCTCACAGCCTGCCTCCATTCTTTCTGGTTCATATCAGTATGTTATCAGTTCATATCAGTTATGTTATCTTTATTTCTTGTTTGTTAAACAACCGGTCTACGAGTTTTACGAGCTGTCTCCAGGGTTCGAGAAGTTTGGGATGTTTTATGACCACTTAGCCTCTGTCAGATGGTCATATATTCGGACTCTGTGTTTTTTTAAGTTTCTGTAGCTGATAAAACCACCTGGGAAAAAGGGGTCTAACTTTTTATCTACACTTAGGAATCCTGGTTTAGGCTCCTCTTTGTCTGTAGGGGATAGAGGAAGGGGGGTTATTGAGGTTTCACACCATGTAAATTTTTATTTTTCCTGTGGAAACAAAAGCATAATTTTCCCAGTATCTTGAACTGATAATTTTAACATTTCTTTTTAAGCAATACCAGGACAGAGAAGGGTTAACAAGAGAAGCTGCTGGCCGGCAGAAGAGACCTTGAACTTATCACAGTAAAGGAAGGGAAGGGGAGCAGTGGGCATAGAGCATGTCCTTGGCTGCCAGTGTTCCTGAAAAAAAGTTTTGTTAACTCCTCTGACTAAAGTCAGATTCTCTGTTTAGTGTTCACACAGTTTTTGTCAATTGCAGGCAGTCCCCATTGCCCTGTCCAGAGCTCCTGTCTTTGCCCGCCTGTAAGGAGAGCGCGCACCCCCACCCTCGTGAGAGCAGCCAGCTGGCTGCAGTCCTGATAGCAAGAGAGCTAAGGAGGGACGGAGGTGGCCTTTGTTATGACTCTCTTTCCTCCTCTTCCTTTAGGAAAATAAGGGAGGTTAGTAGACAGAAACAAATAACATTTACAGAGACAATCCAAGAACCGGAACATCAGCACTGAGACGACGGCCTCATTCACAGCCAGCAAGCCCCTCTTACAGTATGCAAGCCCCATCAGGCAGGAGCTACCTGTTTATCTCAGTTCAATCGGGGAGTGGGGGTGGGGGACCCAGTTCCCTCTATTGTGGCTCAAACATCCTTCTAGTGGGCTAGGCAAAGGTCTAGTGGAGAAGAAGGGAACTGTCCCATAGCGTCACAGTCAAGTCAACATTGAGAACAGTTAATACATTACACACAAGACCAAGGGCACATGAAAAAACTTTGCCCCAACAAAACAACCAACAAAGCTCCAAGAACAATGACAGCCTGATGTGCTCTGGGTTGGGGGAGGGCAACCCTCCAGGCTCAATCACACCAAAAACAATCCAGACTGGAGGATCTCCGTTCTTAATCAAACAGACATCAGGGGCTTCCACATCCCTGTCAGACATGCACCTTTTTTTTTTTTTCTTGGAAGAGAAGGAGAGAGTAAAGTAACAATGATCACAATAAAACACACACACACAAAAAAAAAAAACCCACAAAATGGCTCTGACAAATTCCCGGGACAAAATACAAAGTGGCACTTCCTCCCACCGTGGGGGAAGATACCCAAAGATGCTCCTAAACCAAATGGTCACCTCTGAGGTGGCCTTAGGGCTCTGGGACGTCTCCCTTTGCCGCCAGGTTCACTGTCCGGACACGTCTGTCCCAGTGAGAGCCTGCAAAGTACAAATCAAGCCTGCAAAGTACAAAACAAAAGTAACAAGACAGAGAGACACAGACAAGACAGAGAGCGCTCTTACCGGTAAAACATCTCTAATCACACCATAAAAACTAAAAAAGGCGTCGGGGACATTTTCCCATCTCTGATTAATTTGTTAGTATCTTTTCCAACCTTGTTCCAAGTCAGAGGGTGAATTCCTGGTCCATTAATCACTAACCAGGGACATTTCTCCTCCATATATTGGAAGAATTTTATTAAATCCTTTTTTTTTTAACTCTTATTCCTCTCTCCCTAAGATTACCTTTCATCTCCTTTAGAAAAACAGCCTCTTTAGATAAATTTTTGCCCATGATCGATGGGACGACATACTTACCTCAAGACTCTCCCGCGTTGCACGAGTGATGCAGTCCGGGCGTCTCTACCCTGATCCTCTCCGGGGGGGCCCCTTCTGTTGTCCGTCGTCCGGCAGGTCACAGTGCCTCGGGCCCCACGTTCGGGCGCCACTTGCCCGTCCCGCAGGCCAGGTTATTGGGGAGACCCGAGGAGGCACCTCCTGAAAGATCAATGGGCCGGGCGGTGGTGGCGCACGCCTTTAATCCCAGCACTCGGGAGGCAGAGCCAGGCGGATCTCTGTGAGTTCGAGGCCAGCCTGGGCTACCAAGTGAGTTCCAGGAAAAGGCGCAAAGCTACTCAGAGAAACCCTGTCTCGAAAAACCAAAAAAAAAAAAAAAAAAAAAAAAAAATCAATGGGGGCGAGAGAGAAAGGAGACCAGACCAGGTGCAATAAGGGAAGACAGAGTCAGTCTGAGTCGCGTCAAGGTCTCCTTTATTGACTGGGTATTGAGGCTTATAAACAGGGCTTCAGGTAGGGAGGGGAGCAGGGGAAGCAGGGAGAGAGAAAATTCCTAAGGAGGGGGTCAGGGGCGAGGTCGCTTTGATCCCGGGCCCCCTGCAGTTGACAGGCTCCAGAAAGTTTACCTAATCTCCATCTCCTGCAGTTAGGCCAGGAAGGTCTTATCTAGTCACATCTCCTGCAGTTAGGTCAGGAAGTTTTTGTCAAGGCTTGACAAAGTCCAGGACATAGCTGTCCGGAGTCGGTCTCCAACATTAATCCACAATGAGTGTTCAAGAATGAATTTGAGTTTCTGAGGGACTTCCAAATGCGGAAGACACAGGAAAGAGGGAGAAAGGCTGAACATGGGGAGCACTTCTGTACTGATTTCTAAGCAATCCATCTCGACAGTGTGCAGCACATCACTGTAAACAGGCATTTCTAGTCCTTCTAAACAGACCGTGCAGTGGGGTGGATACTTGAGGAGGCACTAGAGACACAGTCCTCAGTGGTGGCTGTAGGTTCAATCACATAGGGATTTGCTGAAGCCTGCCATGACAGCCACACCCAAGATCAATTCCTGAGACTCTGGGATTAAGAGGACACAGGCTTAGGTAGTATTGAAGCCTATGGGGGATTTCACAGGCACCTAATAAGTTCACATGGGAGACAGCAAGCAGACACATCAACCAGGCTAAACTGGTCTCAGGCTCAGCCAAGTTCAAACACAGCTCTGCCACCTACTGTGTTCAGACCACCAATCTGAGATTTGTATTTGTATGGCACCCCAAAAAAACTAGGAAGTTACATCCTGATGCAGTGGGCAAAAGTTCCAAAATGGTTGGCTGAACCCCACAAGCCACACTTCATGCATCAGCCTTACCTCGGTAAGCCTCACCAGTAAATGAAAACTAACTGCTGACTCCCAGGGTCAGGGAGCAGAAAATTAGGCCAGTGAGAAGCTTCATCCTGTGGAAATCAAAAGAGAATCTAGGAGTCACATGCAAATTTGTACCTCCCCCTTAAACATCTGTAATCCAGGAAGAGTCTAGTTGTCCATTCCCACTGCAACTCACTAGAATCCCAGTGGGACGCCTAAGTGACCTTGCAACAGGACCTTCTTCAAAATCACAAACCTTCAGTTATGATCCCATCAGCCCTGAACCAAGTCTGTCTGGGAGGACAGCAAAACAGCACTGATGGAGGAAGAGAGACATCGAGAGCAGATTGTCTCCCCCTACAGGAACCCACAATTCACTGAGAGGCATTTCCCACATGCCCCTGCAGCATAGCACAGACTTCACACCGTATATACTTAGAACACAAAGGTTAGTTTAAAAGGAAATCACACTCTGGGACAGAGGAGCAGAAGTGTTTGTGTAGGTCAGTCCATGGAGTCATCTCTCACCTGAGTCCTGGAGAGTAGGTGATAGTCTGTGTCTGTCAGGGAGAGGATGCTGGTATTTATGTTGAGACTCCCCATTGAGGCCAATGGCATGTGTGCCTGGCTGGGTTCCTGGAGAAAGTCCCACCATGTCATTTCCCATGAAAGACTACAAAGGAATCTCCCTGGACTCCAGGATACTCTTTATTCACAGATCAGCTTAACCAGAGGAGACAGGACAGTTTTGATTTTTTTGATTGGCTGTTGGGTTGGGAAGGGTTTGCTGGGGTAAGGAGGTTCCTTAAGGTGTGCAGAGACAGGTGTCATCTATCCAGGATCTAGCTTTCCTTGCTGTTGGCCTATGGGGAACTTTGGTAGGTAGAGTCAGATGTCTTGAATCTCTGCTCCCTAACAATGTTCCTGTCTGTGATGGGGTGGGGACAATTTTTCTAATGTTTGATTCAAGATGTCAAGATTCCTATGAGTACATTTGAATGGGTGAGGGTGCTGATTCAGAACTGCAGGGAGAGGTTTTGATAGAACCAGTCTACAGCAGCAGTCAATGCTGTTGGTCCAGCACAGAGAGCTTTGGATGGACCATAAATCATGCTCTGGCAGAACACTGGGAAACCTGCCTGAAGAGCACCAAGGATTGTCAGTGATGCTGGTAGGGTTAGCATGGTAAGGTGGACTAGTGAGATCTTGTTAGCAGAGGGAAGATCCTGGGAGGCTGGTTCTGGTCACTGAATGAAGGCTGTGCACTGAAAGCCAATCCAAGTGAGGGAGCCTAGGAATGGAATATTCAGAACTCTAGACAGAGGCAGCAGCCTCCCCTCTTCGCTAGTTGGGGGCTCTGTGGAGTGGCTGATACCCAGAAGCCAGGATGACACTCTCTCCTAAAGACCAAGTAGACTGTAAGGGATGTCTTGCTGGGTTTTCCCAACAGGCTTCAATCTATTGAGAAAAGAGGAAGAAGAGAGATGAGAGAGAGGGAGGAAGAGGGAGAGAGGGAGAGGAAGAGAGAGATAGAAAGGGAGGGAGACAGAGAAGGAGAGAGGAAGGGAGAGACAGAGGGAGAGACAGAGAGAGAGGGGGAGGGAATGGAGGGTCAAGAGTGAAAAAAAAACTAAAAAGTCTGACTAGTAGGGATAGATATGTCTATAATATATTTTTGAGACATTCTCATAAAAAGTGCTTATAAACAAGATTTTCTTTTTAGAGATAACATACAGCACGCAAAAGTGAATGTGGGGCTAGGAATGTGGCTCATTGGTATAGTACTTGCTCGCATGTGTGAAGTCCTGAGTAGTTTGAAACAATGCAATATAAACAAAACGAAAGCACACACATTAGGAATTGCAGACTAATTCTGAACTTGGAAAACCTTAAATACAGGACAGAGGGTTCGAGTTTCACCCGAAGGAATGGGATCCATGTATCAGAGAGCCACAGTCAGCCCATTCCTTCTGTCATGAGCAGGACCCCTTCTGGGAAGAATGCTGTTACACAGGAAGAAGAAACTATCTTTTTCCAAATCCATTTCTCTGAAAGAGCCTGCAGAGAGTCTACAGAGAGCCTAAGAGTCTGTAGGAGTCATTCAAGGACCAGCACCCAGAACATAGCAGCCCTCAGCCAGCACTCTGCCTACTCCAGCTCTACCTCAGAACTCCCTAAGAAGACTTTCTGGAAATTGGCCCATCCATTATAAAAATGAATGGTGGCTTACAGGAATTCTAGGGTGGGTGGCTTAGTTTGGAAAAGGGCCATGGGTCACAGCAATCCAGCTTCAGGCAACAAAAACCTGGACATTGTCCCTTTGGTACCCTGCCATGCTTCTCCATATGTGAAAGCCCTGTTACAAAACACCAGAGGATCTGTCCAGGAGAGGCCTTGAACCTGAGTTCCCATCATAGATCTTAAAATCCAGCACTTTGGGCTTGGAAACAACATGGTCCAGAGGAGAAGAGTTACCTTGGGTTCCAGGACCTAGAGTGACTTCAGCTATGCCCCATAGTGAAACTGCGAGACCCTCAAAGTCCTGGTGTAGAGGGGATAGTGTCTAAGAAAAAGTGTAGGATGGAGTGGCCCCAGTGATGTTCAGTAGCATTTCTGCTGTTTTCACAGCCAAGAAAGTGTGCATCCAGGGGTCCACGCCTCTGTACTCCTGGGCCTTCTGAATTTGCACCAGTGCATGCACTGCTACATGCATGTACTGCTTAAAGACCCGGATGTGCTCTGAGAGATGCAGAATCTTACTCTTCTATTGCCAAGACAAAAATACCATAACTTAGAAACTTACAAAAGAATGGTTTTGTACTTATGGTTTCAGAGGAATAAGAATCCATCATGGCGGGGAGACATGGCAGGAAGTTCAAAGGCAGGCAGGAAGCAGAGAGTAAACAGCAAATGAGATATAAAAACTCAAAACCCACCCCCAGTGACACACTTTCTATAGTAAGGCTCCAACTCTCAAAGGACCCACAATTGTCTTAACAGCTCTACCATCTTGGTTACTCATGGAGGGCATAGCTCCTCAATATCACAATATGGCAGAAGGCACCCAGGTCATCGTGTGAACATGCACCTGCACACAGCTAGACAATACAGGCTAATTCACCCATGTTGTCTCCAATATGACAAAGAAAGAGTGAGTATCAGGTGCATGAGGCTGTTGCTGGCACAACAGGGAACACTCTTGTACACTAACGTGGTTAACCAAAAGAAGTGCGTTGGAGTAAGTACAAACCAGGAATGGAGAGATTCTTTACCACCATCAAAGCCTGTATAGAATTCTGTGTGCTGCGGTTTCATGTGAATGGCAGCACAGTAGTTTTCCATACAGCAGTGCCATCCACATGTGAGCAGTACCCTGGTATACGGCGATCCCAAGGCTATGGTGTCAGCAACAGGAGTTCTTCTGCTCCATTATACTTTCATGGGTGTCAGTGACTAAGGTGTTGGGTTTTATCCCATGGCTGTTTAATCACAGGACAAGTATTCACTGGTCTTTTATTTAACAGTCACTGAAGTAGATGTTGGACAGACAGTGGAGGCCAAGTCCAGGCTATGATTTCATGAATGTGAGACTTATAATGAGGGGATGGTGATGTTTGCTTAAGACAACTCTCCTAGGTATTTAATAACAAAATGGGTAATAAATAGAAAAATATATGAAGGAGTGTATATATAAAAGTTCAGTTAAGGAACTATTAAAGCAGAGGATACATACAGCCTAAGATTGCTATCTCACATGAAGAAAAAACAAGAAATAAAATAATTCAGAGCAGGGGCTTAGCAGTCAAGTCCACTGTCCATTTCCTTCCCCCTTCTTGGCAGCAGGCAGCCCATTACAGCCATGAGGGACAGAGGGAAGGGTGTCCCTCTTGAGCCTCTTCTCACAAGTCAGTCACACGTGTGCTGTTCTAAAGGACGTGGTGAAGGGAATAGACTCCTAGCTCTGTTGAGATGTGTCCCTTCCAAAGCTGGCACCCACAGTGAAGG